TAGCAACAAGATTGTGTCATCTACACACCGTGGGATATTAGTGAGTCTCCCTGCGATTCTGATGTGCCAAGTTCTTCGTCATAAATGCAGCTTCATGGATGCATGTGGATCAAGTAGGTGTAGTGGGAAGATACAACCTGATTTACATCTGCTCTGATTTTAAACCACACACTATCCCCTTACTTTGTTCTAATGGCTTCCTCTTAGTCTACGTATAGTTTCGGCAGGATACAATAAATGTTCTGGAATTCCCATTCTTTGCAATTTAACCCACACAAAAGAAAGAAAATAAGTCTACATAAGTGAGTTCTGCATGGCTCAAAATTGGGAAGGGCGTACGCCAGGGATGTGTCCTATGTCCATATCTTTTCAACCTGTATGCAGAACAGATTATCTGGGAGGCTGGGCTCTATGAGGAAAAATGTGGGGTCAGGACTGGTGGAAGATCTATTAACAATCTGCGTTATGCAGATAACACAATCTGCTTGCTGAAACTGAGGAGGACCCCATGCACTTGCTGCAGAGGGTCAAGGATGGCAGACTTCAATCTGGATTGAGGCTCAATGTCAAGAAGACCAAGATTCTCATCATGGGACCAATTGGCAGCCTCAGGATGGATGATGAAGAGATTGAGATTGTTCACAGCTTTAGTTTTCTTGGCTCCACAGTCAACACTCTTGGCACCAGCAACCAGGAAATTAAAAGACGTACTGCAATGGGAAAGTCTGCTGTTAGGGACTTCTCCAAAGTACTGAAGAGTAATGGTGTCTCTCTGGAGACTAAGGTGCATTTGATACAGGCCATGGTCTTTGCAGTCACTTGTTATGCATCAGAGAATTGGATAATGACTAGAGAGGAGGATAAAAGGAGAACTGATGCCTTTGAGCTGTGGTGCTGGAGAAGAGTATTGAGTGTACCACAGACTACTAAGAAAACAAACAGATTTATCCTGGAGAGAGTTAAACTGGGCTGCTCCTTGGAGGCAAGGATTCTGAAGCTTCATCTGAAATACTTTGGACATGTTGTAAGGAGTGACTGGTCCTTGGAGAGGGACATCATGCTTGGGAGGGTAGAGGGATGGTGCAGGAGGGAAAGGCCCTCTATGAGGTGGATTGATTCAGTGACTGGGGTAATAGGGATGGGTATATCAGAGACAGTGCAATGACACAAGATAGAGCAGGGTTTAGAGCTGTTGTACAGAGGGTCGCTATGAGTCACAAACGACTCGACGGCACACAACAACAACAACAACAACAACACATAAGTAAACCAAAAAGTAACATTAATAAATGGGGGAAGATTGAGTTTGTCAATGATTTGATTTTCCATGGGTCCACAATCAACCCCTAAGGTAACAACAGTCAAGAAAACAAATGGTGCACTGCGTTGGATAAATCTGTAATGAAAGATGTCTTTTTAGGGCTGGAGAATAAAGATACCCCACTGAGGACCAAACACACCTGACCCAAGCCGTGAGATGCTTGATCACCTCACATGCATGCAATCTGTATTTGTTTCATGGTACAAAGTATAATCAAGACACCATGGACAGCTGAAAGAACAAACACATCTGTCTTAAAAGAGGTGCAGCCAGCATTTTTAGAAGCAAGGATGGTGAGGTTCTGTCCCATACACGTCGGACACGTCACCTGGGTGCACCAGTTGCTGGAGTGCAGTATCACGCTGAAGCAGAGCGGCAGAAAGAAAGAGAAAGATTGTCAGTGATACGACTGACAACAGCAGCTGTAACTATGTGCTCAAATGTCACCATGATTTCAAGGTGGGCTCAGGACAGGCCATGCTTCCCTCTGTTAGAGTTGATAGGAGTTGGTACTCACTCAGGAGCACCTAAGAACAACAGAGCCCTCCCCACACACCCGATGCTGTTCTGCTTTCAATTTGCATGTTGTCGCTGTGTGCTGTGCACAGGAAGAGACTGCCCGTCTTTCTCCCGTGAAGCGGCTGGTGAATCTACACTGTGTTCCTTTGGATTGACAGTGTAACTCTTTACCACTAAGCCAATATCTAAACACTCCCATTCAGCAAGAATTACTGTCACCCCCGTTTTACTAACTCAGAAATCAAGGCACAAAGAGGTCGAGTAAATCCCCTTCGTAACTGAGTGGCAGAACTGGGCTCTGCCCCAAGCTACGTGGCTTAAGAGCCTTAATCAGCACTCTCTAGTTTGTCTCCACACTCCTTGTCCTCTGTGGACTGACTTTGCTTCACCAAGTGAGTGGAAGCAGTTGAGAAAATAGAGCATGTTGTCATTAGATTCCAGCCGTAGGGCATCATGACCCTGTGGACATCGAAGGGAAACCCTGCAGGTCCCTCATCACCTTCACAGTCTTCACCGTCCTTGAGCTCATTGCTGTATCCCTGTGTCAATCCTTCCTACTGAGGGTTTTCCTCGCCTTTACTGACCTTCCACTTTTGCAAGCATGATGTCTTTTCCAGGTTCTGACGGATCAATCACACAGTTTAGGAGACTAACACATTATGGCTAACACTGAGACGAGTGGGAATTCCCGAACCTATAATTGTGCTCATACAAAACCTATACTTAGACCAAGAGGCTGTGCAAAGAAAGCAAGGAAACACTTGTTGTTATTGTGATGTGCCATCGAATCACTTTCAACTTGTAGCGACCCTCTGTACACCAGCTCTGAAGCCTGCCCTGGCCTGAGCCAGTCTCATTGACTCTGACACACCATTGACCCAGTTAGTGTACCAATCCATCTCATCCGGGGTCTTCCTTTCCTGCTCTGTCCCTCCACCCTTCCAAGCATGATGTCTTTCTCTAAAAGCTGATCTCTCCTGGCCACGTGCCCAAACTATGTGAGACAGAGCTACAAAATCCTAACCTCCAAGGGGAAACTTGGTTTCACCCTCTCCAAGACAGACCTGTTTGTTTTCGTGGTGGTCCATGGTATGTTCAAGACTGTTCTCCAACACCACAACTAGAAAGCATCGATTCTTATTCTGTAATCCTTAGTCATTATCCAACCTTAGTCATTATCCAACTTTGATGCATATTGTTGTTGTTGTTGTTAAGTTCCATCAAGTCGTAGATGACTCATAGCAACCCTATGAACAAAAGACCTGAGCACTGTTCATAGTTTCCAGAGGCAAGCCATTTTGGAAGTGGCTGCCACTTCTGCTTCCAAGCTTGTTTTAATCGGGAAGCTCCACAAAACACTGTCCACCATGGGTAATCAATATCGCAATTGGCACATCAGTGTCACAGTGTTTAGCATCACAATTTACCCCTCTACAGCAATGCACACACTAGTGCTACACCACTTAGAAGAATGTTTGACAAAAAAAAATTTTATATCAACAATTTAAACCCCGTCTGAGGGCCACAGATTAAAATCACCCACCTTGGGCTTGGAAGCATAACTTTCTGTCCACTAGGCCTATGTAGCTTTCTCTATGTTGTTGTTGTTATTGTTAAGTGCCGTCGAGTTGTAGATGACTCATAGAGACCCTATGAATGAAAAATCATGGTTAAATTAAGAAAGATGTGCATCAATGTTGTAGTCTTTCTCCATACCTATTTAATCTGTATGCTGATGTGAAGAGGAGTGTGGCATCAGGATTGGAGGAAGACTCACTCATCAATAACCTGCATTATGCAGATGACACACCCTTGCTTGCTGAAAGTGAAGAGGACCTGAAGTGCTTGCTGCAGAAGGTCAATGATTGAAGCCTTCAATAAGGATTGCACCTCACTGTCAAGAAAACAAAAATTCCTCCCACTGCACCAATAGGCAACATGAGAGAAGAAGAGAAGATTAAAACTGTCAACAACTTCCTGTTACTTGGATCTACAACCAACAACCTTGGTAATAGCAGTCAGGAGATTAGGAGATGTATTGAACTAGAAAAGTCTGCAGCCAGGAACCTCTCTAAATTACTGAGAAGCAATGATGCTATCGTGAGGACTAAGGTGTGCCTGACATAGACCATGGTATTTTCACTTGTTAATGCATCTGAGAACCAGAAAAAGACTAACGGTTACAGAAGAAGTGATTCCTTTGAGCCATGGCATTGGAGAAGAGTCCTAATTATCCCACGGATGGCCGAAAGACCAAATAGATCTGTCTTGGAGAAGGTGGAGCCAGAGTGCTCCTTGGAGGCAAAAGATGCTGAAGCTTCATCTCATAGACTTTGGACATGTTTCTAAGAGAGTCTGGCTATTCCTTGGGAAGGACATCATGCTTCGAAAGATGGAGGGACAGCAAAGGAGAGGAAGACCCTCTGTGAGATGGATGGACATAGTGACTGCAACAACGGACCCACGTGTGTCAGAGACTGTGCGGATGGCACAGGACAGGACAGGGTTCAAATCCATAGTTCATAGGGTCACTATGAGTCATGCTTACCTTGACGCCACCTATCAATAACAAGAGCAGTGATGGTTAAACTCCATGGGAAGACAAAGAAAGACGCATCACATGACAAGTGAGTATATCTCACACACTCAGTAATCCACCTCAGACAAACACAGCAGGACACATTTCTTCCTTAACAAGTATTCTTTATTTGCTTTTCATTACCTCTCACTGAATAAGTGGGTCCCACTGGCACTAGGTAAGAATCTTGCATGCATGACCTAAAAGCAATAGATTTCTTTAAAAGCCAAAAAGAATGGTAACAGAAGTTTGTGGAGGGTATAGGGATAAGTAAACATTCAGTTAAATGTAAGCAGATTCCTATCCAGAAAGAGAAACAATGTCACTACCCCATGGAATCAGTAATAGAAATATTACGTTCTCAAGCTGCTTATTCATAAAAGACAAGCATGGGTATGTGTGTCTAACTGTTCCAGCAAGATGTAGCGAAGGGAAACGCAAGCCCAGGTTTCCAACTAAGCTCACAGGAGCTTCCTGGGTGGGACTTTCACCCGCTTTCTGGCAGGCAGAGGCATGTGACAGTTTAAGAGGCAAAGTCTCCAGGGAGATGAGTGTATTGGCATGATGGTGGGCTCCTTGGATCTACAGCTGGTGATCTGGCAGGGCTGTGGTCACTGGGATCTGGTATTCCAAGGCATTGCAGTCATCTGACAGGAACACCAAGTCCTGAAGAAACAAACAATGAGAAGGCAGGTTACTAAATATGGCCCACGTGGAGCTGTATCCACAAAGACCACCTCACTGTGCTCCTTCTGCGAAAATGCTACATCCTTTATGCTCCAATAAGAGGCAGTCCTTTCCCACCTTCCTGTTGTGTCTTTAGAAAATAGAACTATTACTCCCCCCCCTTTCTTATGGCAATTGACTTACCTGCCCCTGAGACTGTTCCTAACGTCCAAGTCCAGTGACTCATTTCCTCAAAGAGTTTGGCTATGATTAAGATGTTACCATATTTGTATTACTATCTACATGGGCATGTTTTCAGAACACACAAGCAGCAGTGTAAAACTATCCTCTGATATGTGTATATAGTTATGAGTATAGTCTTGTTTTCCTTAGAGGCTTGAATACCCTTTTATTGTTTATGAAATGTATTCATGCATTGACTAACTGGATGGTGGAAGGAAGGAAGGAAGGAAGGAAGGAAGGAAGGAAGGAAGGAAGGAAGGAAGGAAGGGAGAATGATGGGTGATGAATGAGTAAGATGATGAATGGAGAGTGGACAATAGATGGATGGATGAGTGAATAGATGGATAGATAATAAATAGTTGAATAGATGATTGATGAATGGATGGAGAAATAGATGGATGAGTGGGTGGATGGATTGATGATAGATGAATGGACGGATGGAAGGATTGATTGATGAATTGATGGTGGATGGATGGATGGATGGATGGATGGATGGATGATGGATGGATGGGTGATGGATGGATGGATGATGGATGGATTGATGATAGATGGATGGATGGATGATAGATGGATGGATGGATGGATGATGGATGGGTAATGGATGGATGGATGGATGGATGGATGGATGGATGGGTGATGGATGGATGGATGATGGATGGATGGATGAATAATGTTGGATGGATGAATAGATGGATTAGTGGGTGGGCAATGGACACATAGATGAGTGCAGAATGAGTGAATGAATGAATCTTCATGTCTAAGTCATATCCCTGTGCCAGGCTTCACAGACAGCACCACCATCATCACCAGATGTTGCCTCAGAACACTGTAGCTGACGGCATCATTTCTCAGACAGTACTATAATGATGTCATCTTCCTGCTTCACTCAGCAGACTGAAAAACCAAACCAAGGCAAACCTGTGGTAATGCAACCCATCCTGACACACGGCACTCTCCAGCGCTCAAAGTCAGCCTGTGCACCGCAGGTTTTCTTGGCTCCCGTTCTGTAGAAAGAGTGCTACTGATGCAGTGGGTAGCACGTAGTTGCTAACAGAAAAGGGGGATGCCTGAAACCCACCATGGGAGAAGATGTGGCAGTGTGCTTCCATAAAGGCCAACAGTGCTAGAGGGTTACTGCCCCACAGGCTTCCTGTGAGTTGGAGTCAACGTAGGGACAAGGATTACATCTTTATGGAAGCAGACCACCAGGCCTTTCTTCCGCAGCACTAGTGAGGGAGTTGCAACCTTCAGTCTTCAATAGATGAATACAAACTGTGCAAACCACCCAGGAACAGTTCTCAAACAAAGAACAGATGGAAATGAAAATAATTCAGTGACAGGAGTAAGCATGTTAACAAGCCTTGGATACATGAACAAATACTTTCTAACTCAGTAGCTAATTATTAACATGTGCTGAAGCCTCACTTAAGTGTGCAGCTAAGTTTTTTATGCTCAGTCACTCCAGAGGTTTTAAGGATCCATGTTGCTACTTCAGTGTGTGTAATAATTACTGTCTCCTGCAATGACCTCATGGGACAGGTGTGGCTATTGTCTCCATTTCTTCATGCAGAAGAAGGGGAGCAGGTGGGTCCTACAAGCTGACACTTGAGCCTAAAATCACACAGCTTTGCTTTCATAGCCCACCTGTGCTGGGATTCCTCATTTATCTACTCCTTCCTTCATTCTGGGGCCCCTCCATGGTACAAATGTTTAACATGCTTGGCTACTTAAGCCCATCCTGGTGATCTAGTAATTAAGGACTGCCAACCCAGAGGCATCCAGTTCAAATCCACCAGCTGCTTCTGGAGAGAAAGATGAACATTCTCCACTGTGTGATTTACAGCCTCTGAAACTCCGCTGGACCATCAGGTAGGAGTCACCTCCCACTCTGTGGCAATGAGTGGTTTGTTGACTAAGCACACCAGAGCAGTCTTAGCAGAAAGGCCTGGAATCTACTGAAAACCACCCCCTGAAATCCCTGTGGAGCACAGTTCTGTCCTGACATCTGCTTAGGGCATCAGGAGTCACAGTTAACTCCAAGGCTTCCTCCTATCCTGAAGCACACTGAGGGCTTCCTCCTCCAAGAAGTCCCCCTGGCTCAGAGTCCTGCCTCCGAGGCATCCACAGGCCCTGACATAGAGTCCTTCCCACTCCCACTCGCCCCCTGGCAGAGTCTGTCATGAGGCGTTAGTCATGTTGTCCTGGGAGCTGTTCCCAGTTCTGCCTTGAACTTATGGAGGGATGCCCTCCGAGCCCACCTCCCCCTGGGCTGACAAGGGCAATGGTGGTGGGGGACCCACACTCTTACAGTACTTCTCCTGAAAGCCTCACCTGGCGACAGAAGGAGTTTATGATGGTATAGAGCTTCCGCACCTTGTCCTTCAGGATCTCCACCTGGGCCACCTTCCAGCACTGGGACGATGCCACGAAGGCCCGCAGCTTGGCCAGCACACAGTAGTTCTAGGGTAGTGGCAGGGAGGGTGCCCAAGATGGCAGGGGCCAGAGGGAAAGGATCCCACTCCCCCCACCCAACGTCTCACCCACCCCCAAGCCATGCATGTCCCCCAGGCAGAAGGACCTGTCTTACGTGTATGTCCAGGTGCAGCCTGGGCAGGTACCTCACACACGGCTCCTGCAGAGGATGATATGGAATGCTGGGATGCCAGCTGGGACTCCCCCTGTCTGGTCTCAGGGACATCTGCTGGCCACCCACAGCCAGCCTGGCCCAGAGCAGAATATGCTCTGAAGTAGCACACACGTTGTGCTGCCCAAGGGCAGTGCCCACCAGAGCCCACCTCTCAGAGGGCATCCCCCAATCACTTCACTGCCTATGTGTGGGTGTGTTCAGCCAGCCAACCAACATCCATCCATGTGTCCATCTATTTGATGTTTCTTTTCTTCTCTCTCTCCTTTCTTTCACTATTTCTTCTTCTTCTTCTTCTTCTTCTTCTTCTTCTTCTTCTTCTTCTTCTTCTTCTTCTTCTTCTTCTTCTTCTTCTTCTTCTTCT